GTTCATCAATTATGGTAAAATTGGTGGTAATGATGGTGATGGTAAAATTGGTGGTAATGATGGTGATGGTAAAATTGGTGGTAATGATAGTGATGATGGGAATAATGATGATAATAAGACATAAAAATTATGTCAACAAAAAATTACAAAAGCATTGAATAAGATTTGTACTTACAGCTTCTCCACTTTGTCCAGGTCTTCCTCTTTCACCAGGCAATCCACGCGCACCCTATAAAAAGAAATATCTCGTATCATATTTCAAATAAAAGGAAAATAATAAATTTCAGAAACTGAAGTAATTCTTTGTAGTCTTTACTTTCTACCAATATGATCTAGATGCAATATAGGAATGCAGAAACAGAATGGCATGATAAATTGTCTTTATTTCACTAATGTTTTTTCAAAATTCTAGATTTTTCGTATTGTTGGTGTGCACTGAAAATCATAACATTTACTCACCATTGGACCTTGTGCACCAGGTCCACCAGGTGACCCACTCTCTCCCTGTTGATAGAAAAAAAATATGAATTTTGTAAAGTACATTATAACTCACATCTGCCACAATAAATGAATTGATTTTGAGATTACCAATCTTTCAGAAGGGAGCATGACATTGGGATACCCTTACTATATCAAAATAGACCATTAAATGTGGAGAGCATATTCATAAATGTGAACAAAAACTTCTGTTTGTTGAATCCCATGCAAAATTTTAACGTCATTACAATGCTATGACCATTGCTTTTCCTGTTGTTTCATTTGATCTATTTCCGTAAATGATCCATGTGTCAATTTTTTGTGTGTGGTCTACATTACATATCACATCATCAGACAAACAGTATTTACGAATACCTAATATATTGGTTATGAATATTCTTCATATGTTTTTGAATGCATACTAATTAGGTTATATTTATTATTTTATTCAATTCAATCAATGAATATAGTTTCTTACTCGTTCTCCTTGCCTTCCTTGTTCTCCTGGTTTTCCATCTTTTCCTGGCCATCCCTAAGTATTGTAAAATGAAAAATGCTTCTGTTAATATATTTTTCACAATAAAGCCAAAAACAGATCATGTTCACATTATCACCTCATGAATATGCATGAGGTTATTATCACCTCATGAATATGCATGTTATTATTACCTCATGAATATGCATAGGTTTTTTTATATCACCTTATGACAAATCATGACATGACCAAGTCCTCATTAGTTAAATAATACTGTAAAATGGTTAATTATTCACTGGGTTTTAATTTGGCTTATTTCGCTGACTGGAAAATGCGCTAAATTAAAACCCAGTGAATATGTAAAATTTAGCATAAAACATATTATCTAAATGATAAAACCATGAATTTAAAACACATTGAATATGCCTGAAATTTAAACCCAGTGAAAATTAGTCATTTTACAGTAATTTAAAACAAAACGGAAATGAGTCAGCCATTTGAAACAGAATATGAAGCAAATGACATGAGAGTAAGGAAGTATTATTTTTTCCTTCCAAGGAAGGGAAAATACAAGTTTCTATTTCTCCTTCCTCTTCATGCCTTGTAGTTGTAAAGTTTTATTTAAATAATGAAACGACCACCATTCGGCCATTTTGAATCTGATCAGAAAACAAATATGGGCAACATGATGCATGATGTATCTATGAAACTTGAATTGTCAGTAATTGTTTAAAAAAATGGCCAACACCCGAATTTTGAATCAACTTTGAAAAATAAAATGACATGCACCAAAGTCTTATTGTGTACCAAATTATCTACACATGACCATGATCCACCTCCAAATGGCACATTAAATGGCTGCCATTCAGCCTTCTTGAGTCTGATCTTCAAATAAATATGTGCGATGTACGTGAAGTAAATGTGTATACAAAGTTTGAACATGATTGGTCAAGGCATGTCAATGATATGGCTGTGGAACAGCATTTAGAATCTGATCTGAAAAAAAATCATGTGCATCAATGTCTCATTATTTCCTATGTACATGTATTTTCCAAGTTTGACTAAAATCAATCCATACATGACCGCGAGAACCGGCCCTGGAATCACAGAATTTTTTATTTTGATGAATTTTAAGCATGGCCAGCATTTGGCCATCCTAAAATGAACAAATGAGCATATATGTCCCAAATGATGAAGTTTGAATGTGATCAGTCCAGGCATGCCTGAGATAGAGATGGGCTTGCATGGACGGACAGACACATGGACTTTGTTTGAATAGAGATTAAATATGCACAAAATTGTTTGATTCAAAAAACGGTCAGTCAAATAGTGGCATATTTATAACTTTTGTGGCATTGACATCATTTTGTAATTGCTTTTATTCAAACTAGATCAATAATACAATAATGACAAAAACTTGTTTGATATAGATATATTGTGTACTTACAGCATGGCCTTTTGGTCCTGACATTCCAGGGATACCTGGTAAACCTCTGGGACCACTTGGTCCTACTGGACCAGGTGTACCTGGCTGACCATCACTACCGCGATCACCCTGAAGACAACAGAGAGTTAGAAATGGTAGAATTAAATTATAAAACATTCATTCTTTATTTATTCTATTTTTTTTAGTAGTATGATCTATTTTGTGCAATTTTTGGAGTATTACATATACATTGTATGTTGGTTCATTGACTTGGATGATGGAGAATTCCATATTTTATTCACACATGACAAGAATTGTCACAATGTTGTGCATGTGATTTTCCCACATTTCAATGCACTCTTACAGTGGCAAACAGAAATATCTCTTTTGATCTGGGCACAATTTGCACTAAATGCTGACTTTGCTGCTTAGAGTAATCTTTGCTGTTTTCCAATCATCTGGAACATAAAGTCATCATCTTTGTTCATATGAGTCCCATGTGACGAGACAACCACTGTTCATTCACACAAGTGCATGTGATTTGCTCATTAAAGGATGAGTATCTATATAGTATTTTATAGGTAGCAATCAACAAGAAGCCTCTCGGCTGAGATGGCTTTGCTGTTACCAATGCACATTTCATTTAAAGAAGTGAACAATGAACAAATCTGAGAGAAGTCTATCTGAGGTACCTACATATAAAATGAAAGCAATCAGACTTGCTTTTTTCAAACAAGAAGTCGAAAATATCACTTTTTACCAAAAATGACAAAAATCTTCATCAAAATTAGAAAATCAAAGATATCATCAAGAATTTAACAAATCTGAGAACGGTCCACATGTAGTACCTATATGTATAATATCAAAGCAATCAGACTCCAGTTTCAACAAGTAGTCAAAACTATCACTTTTTACCAACAATGATAAAAATATTCATCAAAATTAGAAAACTAAAAATATCATCACGAAATGAAAAAATCAAAGAGAGGTCTGGGCAATACTTTACATTGAGGTTTAAAACTAATTTTGGTACCCCAAGTTTTTTCGACAGAATTTGAAACATTCAATCACAAAAAATAATTTAGGAAAGTTTGAGTAAATTCCTGTCTCAAAATTGTGTTAGCTGTGACTATCTTCAGGCATAATATACTTACGTCATCACCGGGAGGTCCTGCCATACCTGGTGAACCATGTGGACCGGATGGACCCTACAATGTAAGATATGACTTTTCAAATTAATATGAACTAAACAGAGTTTCCCTATGATGTAATGATTTTTTTTTTTTTGGAGTGGATCTTTGTCAGTCCTCACTACCATTATGTACTATGATGATACACTGTCACAAACAATCATGTTTGGGTGAGCCTCACCACACAAACATTCACAGTTACTAGTATGTTCAAGTGTCTGCAGAGGTTTTTTGCAAAAAATGGTAGTTAATTTTTATTAAAATTAAAGAGAATAAACAAAACATCATGTCTTGCTGTTTTTTTAACAACTTCAGTCAAAGCATGTTCAAACAAAACAAAATCAGTCAAGGCATACCCAAGAAAAGTTCTTGGAACCACACACACACACACACACAGTATCCAAAACCCTGAATTTAAAATTACGTCCCATAATGACTGAAAACAAATTGCATATTTTAGCTGGCTGTAATACTTACAGGGGGTCCACTTTCTCCTGGCTCACCGGGGGGTCCTGCAAATCCTTGTAAACCCTGTATAAAGAGAAGGCGAGCATATAGTGTTAGAAGTCATACATTTTATTGGAAATTAATAAGTATCTTAGAAATAATGAAATATGCACACTTTGTTTTTTTTGGCCCAAGTAACTAAAAAAAATTACCCACAATACAAATAGAAACAAATCATCAAAAAATGTAACTCCTTGGGAAAAATTCTTTGCTTTCATTGTAATATCCATTTAAAAGGATTTTGAAGATAAAATAAGTTGACTTACACGTGGACCAGGTGAACCGGGTGAACCTCTAGGACCTGGAGTACCCTGATATAAAAATAAAACGCTGTGTTATTTTCAGTTGAAATCATCTTTTTTCTAAATACTTTTTTTTGTTTTAATATCTTTATCAAACAGCCTGTCGGCTGATATAGCTCCACTATATGTATTGTAGTTAGACAGTTGAAAATAGCATTTTTTTTTAAATATCAAAGCAATGGGGCTTGCTGTCAATAATGATAAAAATATTTACTTAAATTAGAAAATTAAAGGTATCTTCACAAAATAACCAAATCTGACTAAAATCCACTCAAGGTGTCTACATGTACATACATGTATAAAATATCAGCGTTATAGGGCGAGCCGATTTCAAGAAGCAGTAATTGTACCGTAATAAGAAACATGTTGACAGTGACAAGGAATTTGCCAGGATTTCAAATTCTGTGTTTAGTGTTGTAAATTTGTGTGTCCTTGTGCCTGTAGTAGTATATACACATGTAAGGTAGGGTCTGTTAGAATGTAGCTGCGATCTGAATTGTATTGTACTTTATGAACTCTGTATAAAGGTGCAGTCTAACGTCAACTACAGCTGGATATTGTGTATAATTAAAGTCCCCTGATGTTCAAGTTCTACTTTCGATTAATGGCGCAAACTTATAGTTGATATAGTTTATTTTCCCTGATTATAATATCTTTGATTATTTCCCCCATCATGGCTAACCCCGCTTCTGTGACAGGGCCATTAAGTTACCATGGTTACTTACCGGTGCCATTTGCATAGCATATTGGGGATATTGAGCAAAGCCTGCAGGTCCTTTGTCTGGGGATCCAATATCTTGCTGTAAATATACCAGCATTTAACAAACATTATTCAACAAAAAATAAAAATTACCATTATCGTTATTTATTCTCGGGGGCAGACATCCACACAGTAAAAAATGCTTGAAAACTTGAGTTTGTGCTGTTTTCTCGCGCAGAGTCTATATTAATACTTGGTACAATGGTGTAGTGACATAGCTCTGCCCCCGAGAATTAGCAGAAAAGGTACAATGGTGTAGTGACGTAGCTCTGCCCCCGAGAATTAGCAGAAAAGGTACAATGGTGTAGTGACGTAGCTCTGCCCCCGAGAATTAGCAGAAAAGGTACAATGGTGTAGTGACGTAGCTCTGCCCCCGAGAATTAGCAGAAAAGGCAATAAATATTGTAATTCCTTAAATTTTCGCCACTGACATTTTCTTGAGTTTATTTTGAAGACAATCAGGGAAAGACTCCAAAGGAACATGGGTTAGGAAATTCTTGAATCACAAATTGATAAAATTACACACAATGATTTTAATAACCCAAGATGAAACGTAGATCACAAACGAATGAATCTCGAACCGAGATTTAAATAACCCAAGATGAAACGTAGATCACAAACGAATGAATCTCGAACCGAGATTTAAATAACCCAAGATGAAACGTAGATCACAAACGAATGAATCTCGAACCGAGATTTAAATAACCCAAGATGAAACGTAGATCGCAAACGAATGAATCTCGAACCGAGATTTAAATAACCCAAGATGAAATGTGAATCACACATCAAGATTTAAATAATCCAAAATTAATTGTGGATCACAAATCAATGAATCAAGATTTATTCTATATTCCAAGATTAATTGTGGATCCTAAATCAATGAATGGAATCAAGATTTAAATAATCCAAAATTAATTGTGGATCTGAAATCAATGAATCAAAATTTATTATATATTTCAAGATTAATTGAGGATACCAAATCAATGAATGGAATCAAGATTTAAATAATCCAAGAAAAAATGTAAATCACAATGAAATGCAAATCAACAGTTTAATCTATGAGGAAATGTGGATCACAAATCAATGAATCCTGATCTACTGGTTACCAATAATTTTTCCTAACCCGAGAAATGTTCCCTACTAAAACAATTTTCCTGATTTAAGAAATAAAAAAAACATGTCTTGAACAAAATGAAAGCAGCTTTAATACTGTATCATTACAGTAATTTTAAAGACCCAAATTTTAGTTTCAAACAATTATACATTTAAACACACGTCTAAAATATTAAATATTACATTAACATTCCTTATTGCTATGGCAACAATTATGCAATCAATCTAGAGCATAGTAATTGCGCTACCGCAAATAATGAAGGTTAAGAGTGACATGACGTGAATGCAAAATTACATACTGTAGAATACTTTATTTTCGCTATTTTCGCTGAAGGGTTGATTCCGTGAAAATAAAATCCAGCGAATATACTTTTTTTCCTATATTTCACATTAAACTCATCAAAAATCAGTGAAAATAAATTCCATACAAAATGCCCAAAAAGCCTTTTCAGCGAAAATTAATTCCAGCAAAAATAAAGTATTTCACAGTATTATTATTGTCTACAATAATTTGTCTTGTTGTGTATACAATGGAAAGTTACATATTTTTGTGTGTTTACATTAAAAAACGACTAAACAGCACATAATGTGTAACTTCACATTTTAGTGTAATCACTGAATTACATTCAAGTATGTAACCTCACTTTTACTAAAACACAGAACAGTGGGAAAGTTTGTAGTAATGCATTTAGTGTGAATACTATAAGGGTATTACGAAGATACATGTAACTCAAAGTATGCACGAAGACAGTACAGCGGCAGTATGACAGCGTACTGTCTGAGTGCATACTTTGAGGTATCTTCGTAATAACCTTATTATTATACATCTTTTCCTTTCAAGGATACATCATAGGAATGCCGAAATCCAAAAAGTTTGGAGCAGAATCAGCGAACTTTTTTGTATGGAGTTCGGGCAAACCTTGGTGGCAGCCATGTTTGTTTTTATTATTAGAAGACGCTTAAGTGCGTAATCATTCCATAATCGGAATTCGCATTTCCGGAATTCGCATTTCCTAATATGGTAGAATGAAAATACCCCGTAAAATACTGCAAAATTACGGCACACTGTAACTTATGGCGTTACGGTGACAGATGTATAATAATGAATAACATATGAAACTTCAACTTGTTTAGTTTACACTAAATAATTATGAAGTTATGTACTTCAGAGGTTGTACTAAATGCAACATCACATGCTTCCAGTAAATACACAATCTGATTAAAATCTGATGTATTGTATGGTGTGAATTTAATTTTATTTATATATTTTATTTTATTTTTCTATAATTTTATTATTTTGTAATTGTTTTTATTATTACGTACATCGTATTTTGTATTACTTTATCTATTTCCTGTGCTTTTGCGTTTACCAAAACTTTAAAAAAAATACCAGCAAATAAATAACAAATTAAAATAAAGTGAAGTAAAAGAATGTTAAAAATAAATAATTTAAAAACATATTGAAAAATACAAAAATTAGAGAAAAAAAAAATAAAGCCCAAACTAGAACTTTATTTTAATCAGATTGGTATTTATACTAAATGTGAAGTTACATACTTTCATGTTGAATTTCAATGTTAACACATTAATTTTTATCTAAATGTATTATATATATATTGGTATGTTAATACAAAGAATTAATAATTAAGTTAAATATAGATTGGGGTGGTGGTTTGGCTTCAAACTGCGCCTATCTACAATAAAAATAAAATGACAGCAAGAAAAGCTAAAGGCAAGCTTATAATAAAAAAAGCTTAATTCATAACAAGCCAGTAGCAGCAGTCTCTTTTTTTCTTTAGATGCTCGATGCTCAAGTACTTACAGGATATTCATAGGGGCCAGGGGGGCCGGGGGGGCCGGGTGGGCCAGGAACTCCATCACGTCCGTCTAAACCTGAATCACCCTAAGGAAAAACAGTTAAATGTTAATTTGTTGCTCATTAATCAGTCTTAGAACTGTTTAACACACAGACACATGATGGATTCATTGCACTATGTGACATATATGAGCAACTTATGATGACCATATATGGACAACTACTACCTTATATGGATAGCTAATGGTCATATATGAAATGTGTTTTTACTGACCAAATATGGATAGTCGCAGACTCACAGCCAATTGATAAATCTAAATGCCATTAAAACAGTTTTCTAAAAATCATTTCTTAGTGACTTAAGAATCCAGCATATGATTTGTGAAACAATTCCCCTTCTGATTATTACCTTTGGGACCTATAGCCCTCAGATTGCATTGACTTACGTCATTCATTCCTCCAACTGGTCCAGGAGGACCTGGTGGGCCAGGAATACCATCACGTCCATCAACACCTATATCTCCCTGCGGAAATACAATCTTCACCACTTAACACAATATTTTTCCACAGAAGCATGAATAGTAAATTTTCCAATCACACTCTCCAAAAAAAGACATTCTTATTGTTGATTATGTAATAATCTGTGACTAATAACATCATACGTTGTTAATGTCAATTCTAATTCCCCAAATATAAAGCTTACTATCACTGTTTGTGTTACAGCGTGAATACTCTAATTGTTATCTCCAAATACAGACCTTGTTACTAATGATGACATTATCACAATCCCCAAATAAAAACCTTAATGTTGATTGTGTGAATGCGTAAATTGTCTAATCATACTTTCTAAATAAGACTATGTTACTGTTAATTATTATGTAAAAGCGTGAATACTCTA